TCCCACCCTAAAATGACTTTTTCTTCTTCGGGGTGGCATTTTGATGGAAGGCGGGACCCTCTGCTCTGGATCTTCCAAAGATTTGAACCCCCACCAAAATACAAAGCAGGGGGTGAAAGAAGACAGGGGGAGAAAAATGCAAGGACACAACCTCTGACCCCACTCCATGCGCTCCATCTTTGTGTTTATAGGGTCCCGACGGTTATTGTTATGTGTCCTCCAAGCCCCAACGGAGGTAAGAGCGCTTTCAAGGCACGTGAGATATTTGAGGAGGGGTTTGACCAGCTCTGCAGCCCCAGTGAATTTCCGTGGCTGAGCGGGCATTCGAACCTGAATCTTCTGGGTCCATCACTCTATCCACTACACCAGGGGTCCCCTCCAGACGTTCTTGGACTTCAACCCCCAGAAATCCTGACCAGCAGAGCTAGTGGTGATGAAGGCTTCTGGGAGTTGTAGTCCAAGAACATCTGGAGGCCCAAGGTTGGGGACCACTGTGACTACACCACTCTGGATCTCTCAAAACTCTCCTTTTTCCTTGCTCAGCTCATTTTAGTCCCCAGGAACATCCCGCTGTCTCTTCGCAAATTGCACCTTCCACTCCGGCCGAGCGTCCCTCAGGGATCTGGGACTAAATTCATATTATTATTGATCTCCTGTTTATTGCAAAGCCTAAGTTTTCCCCCTGAGATAAGGATTTCGGGGGAGGTCTCTTTGATCTCCTTCCGAAGTGCGTCAACCCCAGACAACTACCCACGCTTACCTGCCAGCAAGACCGGCCCAGATGATGGGGACGGAGTGCAGGGGGGACTTTTGCCCGCTGCTGTCAGGTTTGCTCCCCCCCTCCGTCCGTGGTTGCCGTATCCCACAGAACTTAGAAAAGTTACTTTTTTCTTTTTTTTGGAACGTCCCCCCCCCCAAAAAAGGTAAGGTTCGTAAGCCGCCCACTTTTTCTTTACCTCCACCTTCCCGGGGGTCCCGATCCGAAGCAGCGGGAGCCTTTGCACCGATCCTGCGCCTCTTGCGCGTAAGCTCTCTGTGCGTGCGTGCGCGCGTGTGTGTGTGTGTCCACACTTGCCTTCTTCCCGCAAGCTCACGCAAGTTGCAACATCAGCCCCGCGAGGCGCAACCCACGCAACCCTCCCGCTCCCGGGCCCGATCCTGCCCTGCCTGCTCGCCCTCCTCCGCAGGGGTTTTGCAAGCCTTCCGCTCCCCTCGTTGCGCGCTTTCCACCCCGCGGGATCGGCTCCTCCTCTTTCCCGGCTTCCCAAGGCACCCGCGCGGCCAGGGAGGAGGAGGAGGAGGATCGGGGAACCTCCCGGCCTTGGGCGGACCTTCGGGAGGAGACGCGGCGCTTCTTCTTTCCTTGCGCAAAAAACCGCCTCCTTCGGCGGCTCTTCCAGCTGCTGTCCCCGGATCGGCCGCCAGAGGGCGAGAACAGCTGCCTTTAGGATCGCGACTTGCGTGCGTGGGGGGGGGGGAAGGCGGAGAAAATTTTC